ATAACAGAAAACTTTTTCTGTACATTTTTCGCCTCAGATATGTCAGAAATAAGTTATTTACAAAAATATACTAAAAAATATGTATAATGAACGTTTTTTAGCTGTAGCTTAGTAATTATTAGCTGTATTGTAACCGTGCTCGCGGACGGCATATATCGACAGCCACAAAATTTTCCACAATATCAGAGCTTTTCGCTAAACAAGTTGGGCGCCAGGCACGAGAGAGCGTTTCACTCTTTCCATAATCTTTTCTACTGTTACTCGCTATTAATTGGCGACGTCAGGGATGGATCGTTAAAAGTGAGAAAATTATTGGAGAGTGAGAGAGATAGGTTGCAAGAATCACACATGAGATAAGAAAGAAATAAAGAACAATTATATTTAGTAAACCGTTTTACGTGCAATCTCCGGAGCTTCGCTCCCTCTGCTGGATTTGATATAATCTATGTTCGCAGGAAACAACGACGGCTTACTTCTAACGCCGTGCATCCCTGTACTCTAGACTACGAGCTTTGACTTTTCTCCGCGATTGCCTTAGAAGATGACGGATAAAAGACGACCAATTATTCACAAGACCTCTCGATAGCGTGCGAGAGGTATCCAAAGTAATATACATTATCCGAGAGGGTAACGTTGACGCAAAACGAAACGTAAACTCGGAAGTGCGAAACGATCACAATAATCGTTTCGGCGCGACACAAACGATACCAGATAAAACAAAAGCTTAAAATGACTCGGCTGTGGCAAGATTGGCAAGCGCGACTCGAAACTAATATTTCACCTAATCACGATGGGAGAATGGCACGTGTATCGCAATTTCACGACTCTACACGGCGGCCATTAAACGGGCCGCTTTCCGCGACGCGAGCTTTTCCACGTACAATCCACCCGAAGCTACGAACTCGGATCGGCAGCTTTACAGTAGCGACGGCAACTCGTCTCATCCTCTGAGGCAGGATCCTTCCGCAATCCCTCACGACAACACTTCTCTCGGCAGTAATATTCGTAATCTTCAGGAATGTTCGTCGGTAATGGAGTCTCACGTCCTTGTACATCTATCGGCTCAGTCACAGAACAAGTGAGGCCCAGGAGCTCCTTGCATATTCACACTGCCATTCGACTCCCCCCTTCCCGTCACGCCGATTGGCTCCGGCTTATCATGCTGTTCGCGCGTGTCGCACAGGTTCTAGCGGTCGCGAATCCTGCTCTTAGAAGCGTAATTCAATTTCCTTCCAAGGGTCCCTTTCCGTCGAAGGTTCCGGAATTTCCCTGGCTGTCGTGGAATGTTTTGACAGCTTTTTTTCCGGTTCCGTGCCGGGGACATATATCCCCAATGGACATCCGTACGGTTCCTTAGGTGGCCGGGAATTCTCGCCTCCGGTCATATTCTACAAGGAGTGCGCGACATAAGAAGGTTTTAAGGTGGCAGCGGCTTACAAGAAAATATACGAAACAATATCTGCGTGTCCAGGCTCTTAGGTAAATGGCCTTCCAGCGTAGTGTCGCCTTTTCTTTTTTCCTAGCGATGTAGTCCTTCTCTCAATGGTGGGTCAGACGACACAATTACAGAAGGATTTGAAGCTACCGAATGCGGTCTGTAGCGATTTTAATTCTAATTGTGAAACTAATCACTAAAGAAAAAAAAAGTCTCAACGAAAAGAAAGAAATTATTAAATAAAAACAAATAATTAAGGAGTAGCGCATTTCGCAGGTGCGCTCGCACGCGCACTCGCCCTTTAAGTCAGGAAGACGCGCGATTCCACCGCCTACTATTCGATAGTGACAAATAAAAATTGTCACGTCACAGTATATAAATCATTAAAAAATAAAAATGCAGGAAATTTAATGATTTTTTATTTTGATGATTTTATGGGAATAACCATATTAAGATATTTCCGATAAATTTGCGAGGAAATGTTCTCATTTTCATAATATATGCAAATCAAAATTACTCGTACTTTAAAAAATGATATCTCCGGAACTATTGATCGTATAACATTCATTAAAAAACTATTTTGTAAATAATTAAATACTCTTTCAATTTTGTTATATGCATTTTGTACATAGATAGCCTACGTATTAAATTTGGAATATTCGCGAAGTCACAACATTTACGTAACGTTTGTAAATAAGGAATCTTTTTAAAAAAAAATCTATCTCGGATCCTATTGCACATACAAAGTTCATTAAAAAATGAAATTGTGGGGAATTTTATCAGCTTTATTTTCAAAGTGAACGTTAATTTTCGTACAACGAATAGTTTTTGAAATATATGCAAAAAATCAATTTTGTGCGACATTTTTTCAAGACAGCGCAGCTGGGGCCATATCTTCACACATAGGGACTTTGATATACAATATTAAAAAGTACACTATTACAGACCTTTATACAAAAATTTACTTTTGCAACAATTTTTTTCTTTTCAAGTTCTAATTTTCCTGAGCTATAATCGGACAAAGAAAAGCTTGATCATTTCAAAATTTTTTGTTTCTCCATCATATATCATTATAAAATCATTTTTAAAAATTTTTAATCTCATAATTAATACGTACTTGAAATTTAAGTAAACCATTTTTTAAGCAATTTTTTTTACGTTTTAATATATTTATATTTATTAACTATCTGTTTTAATGTATTTATATCTATTAAGTGATTATGAATAATGAGTGTACTTAGCAAAGTAATGCGGAAATATGATTAAAATACCATACGTTGGCAGTTGGCGAGACAAATAGACGAAACTAAACAAAAAGAAATGGAGGTATTAGATTACATGAAGCGCTTGGATGATGTCGAAATCAAGTACCGTCAACAGCAAAGTCTAACCGAAGCTGTCCGTGCGGAACGGAATCTGTGCAATAGAAGTTTGATGGAGACGCAGGAGGAGGTGCAAGATTTAAAGAGCAAACTGAAAATTACAAGCCAGCAGACTGAACAATTGAAAGAAGACATTGCGATAAAGGAAGCCAATCTTGTCAAAAAGGAATTCCGTAAGTCATTTCAATTTAATATCTTAAACTTGACCTCAGTTGAGTCTTAAATTCAATGTTTTAAATTTAACTTGCTTATTAATTTTTAAATATAATGATATTTATTATTTGTTATTTTTTATTGCAATTTATCAGAATTAAGTATTTTGTTTTATTGTATTTACATAAACAAAATAAAGCAGAATTCAGTATTATGAGCACTGTAGGTAATATGAGCATCCTTTATACCTTCTGCAACGGTTGGTACTAGTAGTGCCAACTGTGGTAAAAAAATGCTGTCTTCGCGACATTCCAATATGCCGCGAAGTTTGAATTACATTTATGTACTTCGGATATTTATCACATTAAATAAACAGATACGTTACTTTTTTATTTTTTACGTTTTTTCCCCTAATTTCATATGGTTCTCATTATTCTGTTCGTAAAAGTATTAAGGTACGATTATCAAAAAGTTAATAATTTACGAGTTATTTAACATTTTATGCCAATATGTGCCTGAATAAAGTATAAAATATCTCGTAAACTATTAGTTTTTTGATATTACTACCTTAATACTTTTATGTGCAGAATAATTAAAGAGAATAATTAGAAATTATGTTGTGTAAAAAAATTATACAATTCCATTTAAAAAATTGAAAGTAATCTTTATATCATTTTGACACCTAAGAAAAAAACAACATGACCAAAATATGTCCTCCTCGAACCATTCCATTTTTGTTTGAAACATTTTTTTGTATCAGTAAAAATAAGTGAAATCTTCAAGATGTTCGATTTAAGTGGACCATCCTGTATATATGTACACATATATATTATATATACTAGGACATAACAAGTATGCGTTTTGCTTATTATGTTTTTCAACCTATTAACTTTTATTTTATATTAATATTCAGTATATTCTTTTTATTTGCGAGAGGAGGAGAAAAATTTTTGCAAAGTCCATCATTCGGGATGCTGCCAAAGAGAGAATCTAACCGGATGATGCTCAAAGGCCGGTTTCTTGGGTCTGCGTCCTCCTCGTAAGAAAGGACAGCGGACACCATCGCCTACCTTGCTAAAAAACTCCCTCTGTAAACCGACACTACCGCAAGACTAATTGAGTGTACCCTTGGTCCGCATTTTATCAGGATACACCCAAATCACGGATCATAAGTCACTTCATCTGGTAACCTACGCCAGAAAATCTAACCTAAGAAAATTAAAATTACACCTACCTATTTACGCTATATACATGCCTCCACGGCTCAACCATCAGATCCCGAGGAGGCAGGGGCGAGGATCGCCCTCCGTCTTCCCAGAGCTCGACGCTCACGCTTCGCCTGTTTCTGCCTCTTCATCCTCGCAGAAGTTTGCAAGGGCCGTCCAAGACCGCGAGGAATTCAGAGCGGCACCAATTACGGCGCCGAACGTCCTATCAGGCACGTTCAGACCTAGAGCGTCAAAGAGCGTCACACGCCGGTTTACCCAAGAGAGGTAGCACAACAGCGTGTGGACAGCCGTATCAACCGCCCCTCTACGGTAGGCGCATATCGGCAAATCGGTGCGTCCTATCTCATACAGATAGACCTTAAAACACCCGTGATGACCTAGGTCATGCGGTAGGTCCGCGTGTATATAAGCCACCAATTGTCAATGTGATCAGAGCTTCCCTGACCGCTGCACCAGGAGCCTTCGGAGGGGGGCTAAACAAATATACCCTCCACCTTTTCACGAAGCGGTGGAACTCTACCTCCCGAATGAGGTCCCAATTCCTCGGCAAAATAGATCCATCCCTCCGGATTATCTCCCTCCCGCGCAGGTATGCTCGTCGTAAGGTGATTTGCCACGAACTTAAACCACAGTTTGCGGCCACAGTTATCGGCGCCCCATACAGGATCACCGACATGACCACCGAGGTGTAAACACGACGCCTGTCCTGTCCCAGTCCACCGATATTGGTAGTGAGTCTGCCAATAGTAATGACCATTTTCCAGGCCTTAGGAAAGAGGCGAAAGTGATCACGGAAAGTCCACCTTAAATCCAAAACTAATACAAGATATTTCAAGGTCGATCCCACAGAAACCACCACCCCTCCTGAAAGAAAGTCACAGGGACATCGTCCGCCATAAAGGCGATCACCTCCGTCTCGCCGAACAATACCGTGGGACCTAGGTCCTCAATGGCTCGAACGATCCCAGTTCCGCCCGCACCAGAACCTCCTCAAGCAAGGGGTCCGTCACAGCGATAAGCGTAACGTAGTCAGTGTAGCATATGGTGGAGTAGTCCATTGGCAGCCCCAAATGCAACACGGAGTCTTATCCTATGTTCCATAGGGTCAGTCCCAAGATCGAACTCTGCAGAACGCCGCAAATCATGGGTGACCTCGTAAAATAATCATCATCAATAATATTAAATATATAAATTAAAATAAAAGTTTCTATTGTCAACACCCTTTAGTTAATTAAATATAAAAACTAAAAAATAACATTAAAATTATTTAATAAAAATATAAAATATTTTTTAATGTGATTGTTTATACAAAAGTTTAATTCTGATAGTAATTTTAAAATAATTTTTAAATTGTACAACTTTTGTATAAATCCTATAACTTTTGTGTGAAACATCGTATTGAATTTCCAAAAGATAGAAGTGCTACAGGAAGTAGACATGTGTATCTACAATTTCAATCCAGAAAGACATTTTTTGAATGAACTGAATTTTGGACAGAAGGAATGTTCAATTTGACAAAGAATGTCCTATATATATTTATTCTTTTATATGTTTAATTTTAAATTGATGTATTGTATTATTATGTTAGCTAAACTGTTAATATTTATTTATGTAACATTACATATTTTTAATACAATATTAATATGAAAACATATAAGAGTCGTTCGATAAGTCAGGTAAATTTTTGCGAGATGGCACCATAATAAACTGTGTAGTATATGGCCAAATAACACTAATCAAAGTGCCTCATATCAAGTTTCAACCAAAAGCGACGCTTAGTTTACGTGTGGCAGACGTTGAGCATGGCAGCGATTGTCATAAAAATGGAGAAAAACGAATTCCGTGATTAAACATTTATATTTAAAGAAGTGTACGGTTGTGCAGATCAAAACCGAGTTGGATGAAGTTTATTCTGCAGCTGCGTTGAAGACTATTTATTTTTTGATTAATTCAAAACAGAACATCAATCAAAGATGAAGCGCGCCCCGGATGTCCAATTGAAGTCACTACGCCAGAAATGATTGAAAAAATCCATCGTATCGTCATGGAAGATTGCCGAATAAAAGTGCGTGACATAGCTGAGATTCTAGGCATCTTAAAAAATAAGGTGCATAATATCCTGCACAAAGAATTATAAATGAAAAAGCTTTGTGCACAATGGGTGCCGTGATTGCTAATCATCGACCAAAAACGCAAAAGATATTTCGTAGTGTTTGTCGATGCTTAAGCGCAATCCACAAGATTTTTGGCGTCGATTCGTGACCGTAGACAAGACTTGGATCCACCACTATACATCCGAATCAAAACAGCAGCAGTGGACAACGGCTAGTGAATGTGCGCCGAAGTAGTCGAAGACTGTTTTGTTGGTCGGGAAGATAATGGCCACTGTTTTTTGGGATTTCCAAGGAATCATCTATTCTT